GCTGTTGCAGAATATACAGAAGTATTGTTTGTTTACTGCATTTGTGATAATACTTTAATGTCCACAGAAATAATATAGGATTTATAGCATTCTTATTGTGGTATATGCACAGTCTTAATCATTTATTAATTTTTTAATTTTTCTTTTAATTCGTTTAGTGGGGGGTGGAGTCCAACTGGGTCCACTCGGCACAGCGGCCACTAATTGGCCTATTGTAGCCTGCCCTGGGTGATTATGATGATGGAGAATTTGATGGAATGAAGATTGGCAGGAAAAACCGATGTACTCCGAGAAAACCTGCCACAGCTCCACTTTGTCCACCACAAATCCCATTTTACCAGCCCTGGGATCGAACCCAGGCCGCCACGGTGGGAAGCCAGCGACTAACCACTTGAGCTATGGCACGGCCTTAATCATTTATCATCATAAATTTGTACAGGAATTTGTATATTTTACCCCTTTGAACATCAATTAAATGGTGACACATGGCTGTGAAGCTGGCAACATTTTTACACCCCTTTAATTTCTTTATCTCATGGATGTTGCAGAAAAGCTGTTCTTAATTATTTGATTCAGAGTTATCAACTAAAATCCATGCCAAAAAGCATAAATTATAATTAGTATGTGAAAGTTATAATCCTCTTATGCGGAGTGTATGTAATGAAATAAGCGCTCAGTTCCAAATACAGTAAAATTCTTCATCATTGATATCAGTACAAGATATTTTGTTCAATAACTGGTAAAATGTGGTGTAAATGTGTAAGTATGATCTGCAGTCATTTTCATGCCTTTTTCATGTGTAAATTTGTTTCACAATGCAGACTGTAGAGGCCACACGCTGATGCATGATACATAGGCTGTGTTCAGCTCACTGCTTGCATCATTCATTCGCTGATAAAAACAAAGACAGTAGTGCACCAAAACAATGCACAAAATTAGTACGGGGGATCCACTGTAAGCCCATTTGATACATTTAATATGAGTTTTATGGATACATTCAAAATTTTGTTCCAGTATGCCACATCTCAAAATAAATGCTGTTCACAGAGAGCAGTCACATTTCTTAAATAACCTCTGTTGGTACTGCAGTCATGAGAATCAGTGGTTTCACAGTATTTTCAGTTTTTGTCTCTGAAGTTTTTTTGCTGGTTGACCATGAAAGTTGGTCAGTACATGACCTCTCATTTGTTCTTCCAAATACAGCCTTCAGGTCCTCTGGCCAATAATCACATGGTGTGTACCGCCTACTGTGGAGGGCTGTGCATATTGGATGCACTTTGACTGTGCTTTATGATTTGGCAGCTGATATTTAACACAAATGATCATGAACGTTCTCTAACTTATTTTTATTTTATAATTATATACACTTAAGATCTGTGGTGGATATTTTTCTTGAAGCCTTTGGTTAACTAAGTTAGAAGACACTCTCAGACTCCAGAAATGCTTCATCATCAGAAGCCTGATATTGTTCACCTCCAATCACTGGGGAAAGGGATGTGAAATTTAAAGCACCTTATCTTGTGAAGTCATGGCGCATGTGCTGGAATAGCAGCAAACAGAATACAGTGATCTTGTCCATCTTGTCCATCTTGCCGCACATAATGGTGGAACAACACATTACATGTAGTTACTATAGGATTCTGATGGTGTATAACACACTGATATATTGGGTTTTTGGACTTTATCCATCATCCTGGTTTAGTTATCTTAAAAACCAGAGCGATGGATAAAGTCCAAAAACCCAATATATCAGTGTGGAACACATTACATACTAGACTGCTAATAGTAAAAATGTAACCAACTCTTAATTTGCAAGCAGAAATTTGGGGGTTTTCATCTCGTAAGTGGTTACCAGTGTTGAGACTCTGTATGTTAACCTGTAAGACCACAAAGTTTTTAATCACAAAAAGTTGCAGAATAAATGACATGTATTTTTCAAGTAAGTGTAATTTTAAATGTAAGAGGAAAGAACCGTTTTGTTTTTAAGATAAATATATATGTATGTTGCAGATACAGGAGAAGGTATCCAGTCTGAACTGCTGCAGTCTGTTGCAGGAGAGAGGTCACGTCGTGAGTGTGAACGGAAACAGAAAATAATAGAGGAACGCCGTAAAGAAAGAGAAGGGAAGGAACGTGATTTATTGTTGTGGGAGCAAGAAGAACTGTTTACTGGCTCAGATCGTGAGAAAATGGAAAACATGTGGGAAGTGAGTAAATGAAGTTTTTTTTACAGATGCTACTGTAAATTGTTGAACATCACATGCAGAAGTCTTGGATGCTTCTCCTCTCAAGTTGGGTCTGCTGAGAGTCAGACTGCTAGTGGAATTGATAAACTGAAATGCTTTGTAAACAAAACATACTCATTACAGTAGATGAAGAAAATGATGTCCTTAGTGTGCAAATATTCCTGACATCTCTATAAGTTTTGCATTCACATGTTGAGGTACTTCTTGGAAAATGAGGAAACAGATCTTCAGTTCTACAGTTGTGTGAGTGTTTTGTGTGTAAATGTTCTGCTGCTTCCTCATGAATGAAAGTTGGTTGATTGAGGTTAGGGTTGCATGCATGCCACAAAATGACCACTTATAATTCTGTCTCCAAGGACTTCCCTCAAAAAACCATAGATGCTGTTTCTGTAGGAAGAATGTGTACAGATTTCTTCATCTAGCCACTGAAAACGTAGGGTGAATATCTACTCCATATTCCTCACAGAGATAATTTTGTCCTCAAAGAAAATCAGTCCAATTTTTCCATCCCTTCTCACACTTCACCATATATAAATTTTAGAATCACGTAATGTAGCCGTATGTATTAATCTGAGATTGAATGTATTTCTTTAAAAGTTAAAGCTAAACTTTTAATAAAAAAATTTATAGAACATAGAACAAAGTTAAAGTTAAAGTGAATAACTTTTAATATAAATTTTATAGAACACAGTGTTGCGCATGAGACTACAAAAAACTAATTGACATTAAATCTTACTGTGTTATTCTGCCTGGAAGATTATGCTGTTATTTTTACCTTTATGCATTTGGTAAGAGTTGTATAAAATATTTATATGTGTAATTCTTCTGGTCATCAGTGAACTTCTTATTGAGAGCGTAGTCCTGCTTGATTTTGACCTGTATTGATGTCACACTAGAAAAATGATACTCTCAAGCTATGTTAAAATTGCCTTACAGGACAAACCCAGCAGAAGTACATTAATTTGTTTTGGCTTATTGTATGTGGGTATGTAAAGCTATTCCTGTAACAGGCCATGGAGGCCCATATGGTTGTGAGACAGTTGGCTCACAGATGGCAGTAAGTTTTTCAGCATTATGTGCCAGCTGCCCTTTACCCCTAGGAGTATTCCTGGTACTCATTTCTGTTAGAGGTTGAGTCAACCCCGGGGCCATATGCAGCTGGAAGGATTAGATCAATTGAAAAAATCCATCTCTTCGGGACTTGAACCTGTGACCTTCGGCTTGTAGCATAGTGCCTCAACCCCTCAACCAACTATGCTACCGCGTGCCCCATATGGATATGTGTGACGCAAAAATTCTCTGAAGAGTGTTAGGAGTAGTTATACTTAGCTTGTGATCATGTTCACTGCAGTAATATTTAATTTAAAAAGTGGCTACTTTCATATGGTGAGCATAGAAGTCAGAATGTGAATGTGAATATGTGGAAATAGTGGAAATTTTAAACTGTGGCAATATAAGTTACATACATACATCAGCGTTTCAGAGTATTCATAAGTGTGCAACCGGCACTGAATATAAAACTTGTCAAACAACAGTCACAAGACAATCACAGATAAAATTGCAGTTACATCAATTCAACCACAGTTAAAATCTAAACTGAATACCTCAATTAAATATATACAATGTTACACATACAATTACACCAACAAGTTAATTATGAGGTAATAAATTATGATTGTATGCAGAGAACTGGAAGTATTACACTTAGTGCTTCTGATTGTGATCTATCTCTCTCCTCACAGCTGCCTGTTATAGGGCATTTTGTTGCATTATCCTTAGAACAACTGAACATCAAGAGCATCTCCATGTATGAGTTGGAGCGTATCATTCTCATGCCCCAAGCATCAAAGAGCCTAGCTGTCCTGATGACAACTCTACTGAGGTGGGTTCTAATAATGCACTAATGTTTGTTCTGTAGTTGCACTTTGTAATTGAAAATTTGGAACCATTTCTCTTAAATACACGGTGTATAAGCAAAAACATGAATTTAGAAGTGATATATAGAGTCCACTGAAGGGTAATACAGTAGAGAGAGTGGGTCAGCAAACATTTCAGTGCAGACTGACATGTTTGTAGATGACCCTAAAAACTGTTTCACACTTGCAGTTTGATATGTGCAGATACATCACACACTGACTAGTGGTTTCAGTCATGGTGTTTGCTGCACTGCTTTGTAGTGGCTTCCAGTGGTGTCCTCGGCTTCCATGACCAATGCCTCCTGTCCTTGCTGGCTGACACCTTTCAGCTGCAGCTCCTGAGCTGAAGTAATTGGCTTGCAGCAGCCAAACGAACCCACAATGCACAATCAGTTTTTTTATGTACCCTCAGCATGGACCACATAGAAAACACCTCTCCCAACAGTTCTTGTATTGTTGCATCACGCAGTTCTTGGCACAGACCATGTAGAGAACAACTCTTCCAAGTTACTCCATTGTTTTGTGTTACAAAGCTGTTTCCTAGCACCAAGCGTGTTTGCAGAACCATTCCCTAGCAATGGCTGTCTCTGCTGGCTTTACAGTTCTTGCGTTAATCAAATATGCCTCATTATATACAGTCTTGGTCTGCTGGCACAGAGATTCCTGTTTTTAACTCTATTTAGAGATGATGTTTAGCCCATGCTTTCCTTTGTTCTGCAGCAATAGCAGAGGCCTTATAATGGACTAATTCCCATTCAAGTAGTTCTATTGCTTATCCAAATAGAATTCAGAAAGCCTCTGCTACCAGTGGCTCCCAAGGCACAGAAGGATTTGGATACAGATTCTGTGATTTACATATTATGACAATAAATACCTCTGGTGCAGTCAGTTTGAGCTGAAAATTCTGCAGGATTTTTGTTGAAAGAAATTGAAGTGGCACGCATTCACACTCTGGTTAGAGATGCCTTGACAGCCGTAATTTTCAAAGACAAAGAGATGTAAACAGTTTTGCATTTTTTGTGCCCTTTTCAAGTTTTGAATTAAGATTTTGATTCTTTCATGACAACTGAGAAATGTAATAAGAAATTGTTTCAGTATCCTGTAGACCTATAAACATGCAGTATAAATATGTGTTGCTACTTAGGCTGAACTTAGATCAGTTGATTACAGTACAACACTACAACATGGAGTGAAAGATGTCTTAGGGCAAGGGCACACCAAGGAAACTGGCAACTGCAATTTCCGAGAATTATTATCAGCCTGAGTTGAACACACATTACTGAATGGAGCAGCGCAAATTGAGGAAACTGCGTTGCAGTTTTGTCAATTTGCGCTGCTCCTTTCAGTGTGTTCAACTCAGGCTGATAACAATTCTCGGAAATTGTGGTTGCGTTGCGGTTTCCAGTTTTCTTGGTGTGCCTTATTTTCATAACAGTAACCTTGATGGTGAGTCAGTTTTCATTTTCTGGTCTAAAGATTGTATTTCTTTGAATCTTGAAGCATTACAATGTCATTGGTAATAATAATATTTTATTCTTGCAGCACTCCACTCTCCAGGATGAAACTCCACACAAAACCACCCATGCCATACAAGATCTGGACCAGGAAGCTAGAGATTAAAGTGTCAAGTTGGTACAAGATCTACATCAAATCAAACAAGAATCCAGATACTGTAAGTAAAATCAGGTATCTTAACGCCTTCATCTCAAATTTGTTTTCTGTGTACACAGGTATGCATTTTGATTTACATTGTTTTTGTTTTCTTTTTATATATCGGAATCATCGTCTTTTCAAATATTAGCCATATTTAGATCTATTACGAAGCAGAATTCTCTCATTATTTTGTGGGTCCTTCCAAAACCCTTTTCTTCTTTTAATTGATGTTTAAGATCTCTTTTACTATACTGTCAGTATGTTCTTTCCAACTTCTGTACTGTATTCTAATTATTATCATTAGTGGAGTTTATAATCACTTCATTCCTTTCATGTTTCTAAAATGGTATCTGTACTTGTAGCCCTCATGAAACGTATTTCTACTGATATTAATCTTCTGTTGTCATTTCTTATTGTCCAGGATTCACTACTACTGTAATTGTGTGTTCCAAGAAAATTACACCTTGATTGACAGCCTCTGTTGTCTAGTGGTCAGAGCTACTGCTCCAGAGGTCCTGGGTTTGATTCCAGTCGCTACCAGATTTTCTGAGAATGGGTCTGGAATGGGGTCCTCTCAGCCTCATGAGGATAATTAAGGTGCTGCTTGAATGGAAAAGTAGTGGCTCCGGTCTAGAAAACCGAAATTAACGGCCATGGGGATTCGTTGCACTGACCACGCGGCACCCTCTATCCACTAAAGTTGGCACTAACTTCGCTGACAGGTGGCGGTCACTTGGTTGGACTACAGGCCATGTAGTTTGTTGTTTACACGTTGATCAAAATTTTATCAAGAGGCATGTTCATCTCAAAGCTAATCAGCGAATTGTGGTGAAGTTCATAGGGGTGAATTCCATACTGTGGTCTCACATCGCATTCACCTTTAATCATTTCTATAAAAATAGTAAATCAGTTGCAAGTTTATCAAAGGGCATTTTTGTCTTATCAAGGAATAGAATGGTGAAGTGTGTAGGTGTGAATATCTTTACTGCCTTATCACATTTCATTCGACTTTATTCCACATTTCAGGAAAATTATGCATCCAAAATTTTGTTGAGTGTAATTTTCATTTCAGTGTTCATCAAGAAATATTGTGGTGGAATGTGTAGCTCAACTATTCGGACTGCCTTGTCACATTGCATTAACCTTTAGTGACATATTCTTAAAAATTATCTCTTAGTCAGAATTTCATAAAAGGAACTGACTCTGTTATGTTCATCGAGGAATTTGTGTCCACAGCCATGAATATCCATACCATACTGCCACATTACACTTAATTTCAAGTGAATTTTTCATGAAAATTTGTGTGTTGGTCGGAATTTTATCAAGGTGCACTAATACCTCAATATTCATCAAGGAATCACAGTGGAGCCTATAAGTGGAAATAAAGAAATCATATTGACATAATGAATTTAACTCCCTTGGCCTAAATCTAAAATAAAAATTGTTCAGTAGTATTCATATATTTTGGGCACCACAACATCTTTATAAAAAAATTGCATAGATTGTGCAAGTAAGTATGGTTCTTGCTTTGTTGCCTAATAAGTATGAGTAATAAATGAATTACAATCATGATTCTATAGATACTGAGAGACACATGAAATGCATTACTGTCCTAGGTGTTCGAGAAGCTTGGTATTGAACATCAGTTCTGGAAGATCGTGGGTGACTGGAATCCTTTGAAGGAATATGAGTTCCATGAACTCACCTTCCACCAGAGAGTCTCGCTCATCAAGGCCCTGTGTGATTACATTATGGTAACTCTAATAATGTACTTAAATTTTCTAAATGTTTCCCAAATTACAGTGAAGTCATCATCTGAGAAATGGTTCCAGTACTGTTGTGTAACAGTTTTTTGTAACAGTATTTCCTGAAAACATGGTATATTAAGTAGGGGTACAGTGAATTCTTGACCACTCTTTACTAGCACTTCATCCATCCAGCACACTTATAAGTGGATCATGTGTGAAACCTGAAAAATCCTTGATCAAGAGTGAGAAAGCTCAGAAAATTTTTGCACATTTTAATCTTCACCCTGTGCAAATCTAAGAGAATCATCTGAGGAACTGAAACTTTAAAGAATCAACTGTATGAAAACCCGAGACACTTCAGATATTTTAGCATTTAATATAATCCAATAGAACCAAGTCATGTAGGCAGTATAAGCCAAGACACACACACTGATATAAGTAAAAAACATAAACATTGGCCAGTGTAGCAACTGTACATTAATATATGTAAGTAACCCAATGATGGCCAAATAGGCTGAAACATGTTGCAATACAGAAAATGCCTGTAATTGTGCTAAATGCAACATGACACTCCCAATACAATATTTCGTAGAAACACATTTCTAAAACGAGAAAGAATAGTAAATCGTATTTAGCCACAGAGAGATGCATGGCAGATTACCACAGACTGCCCTTAGCATAAAAGATTAAGAGGAATTTGAGAAACAGCCTGGGATGAATGAAGTGGTTATATAACATAAAGATCAGCAGTCACAGGTACCGCAGAAACTTCGTGGCTGCGCCATAGCCCAAGCGGTTAGCTGCTGGCTTCCCACCGCGGCAGCCCATGTTCGATCCCAGGTCTGGTCAAGTGGGATTTGTGGTGGACAAAGTGGCACTGGAGCAGGTTTTCTCTGAGTAGTTCAGTTTCCCCTGCCAATCTTCATTCAACCAAATTCTTCATCATCATAATCACCCGCGGCATGCTACAATAGGGCAATCAGTGGCTGCCATGCTGAGTGGACCTAGTTGGATTCCACCCCCCCACTAAGTGAATTTAAAATTAAAAAAGAAAAACAAAGATCATTCAATTTACAGCATGACCATATGTAGGATTGTAATTGATGATGAATTGTTTATCAGTTTCTGTCAGATGTTTGATGACACCGTTTATTTAGTGTAAGTGATTTCACGCTTAGATAAGAGAAGTGATCCGGTCATGAATGTATAATAGATGAGTGGTTAAAATAAATTTTCTGTGCCATGTTCATCAATACAAAATGGAATGTGATATGGTACCTGAAATAGGAAATAATTCCTTATTCAGATAATATACAAAACTCATTCATAATGTGCAGCGACACTATAACCTTGCAATTAAAATTGAAATCAATTCCCATACTACTTTTTATTATTTTGACCTCAGCCATCTGAGTTTTAATTTCTTTCTTTCTTGTCTCTACATTAGAAAAAATTGAGTTCCTGTTGGTGTTTAAAATTGAGAATTATAAAGAAATACATTAATCACTTGGAAAAAGTCATCAACATAATGTCTGATGGAGGGGGAAAAATTATACAAGAGTTGGGATGGAGTGCCCATTTTTTTAAAGAATGTCTTGTATTTTTATGAATATTGATTCTGATAGAAATAATAGAATTTGTAGTTTTCAAAATGTATATGGGTCAAACGATGTGTAATATGGTGTCAGACTATTTATTGACTAATGCACAGCAATATGATTTAAAAGTACAAATGTGTAACACTGCTTTCTGTGTTGAAATGTCATCATCCAAAGTAAATATTTAGTTAGTTAGTTATTGGAGAGGGTGGGTTTCCCCATGCACTTAGACCAGCATTAGTCCGTTGTGCTTTCCTCTATGATATTCTATCAGTCTCTATACCCTACCGATATTGGTGCGTACCATCAGTCCCGACTGAGCCAGTGAGTTCGGCCTCTACTGGCTTCCCAGTATCTATAATGCTTCTCCCATCTGTCAGAGGCGTTAGACACTACTGTTGGGCGGGAAATGACCTTGAATTTGGCTCAATGACCTCCTTTGGAGATATGAGGTTCTTTTACATGCCGTAAAGCTACGACACGGGACCCACGGCTTAAAGTCCCTCCCGGAGGATTTGTTTCCTGAATTTTTCCGCCCTTAAAAATTCCACGACCTCCGCCGGGTTTGAACCCGCGTACCACGAGTCATGAGGTGGGAACGTTACCTCTAGACTATGGAGGCCGCTAAGTAAATATTTAAATCAAAATTACAAATCTCTCTTAGTAGTAATATTTAAGACCAGGTCATTAACAATAACCTTGTATATGTATTTGTTTTATAGCAAAACCACAAAAGCCTGAAAGATACCATAGCAGAAAGACGTGGTGAGTTCGGGAAATGTCTGGGTGAGGACCGTTCAGGTGCAAAATTTCTCTACTTCCCACAGTTTTTGGACCACGATGTCAGAATCTATAGACAGACTTTTGAGCCAAAGAGCTGGATTGAGAGAGATCTGGACCATCAAGCAGAGATTTTGGCAGAGAGTATAAACAAAGCTTCCTCAAAGTCTGGAAAGGTAAATATTGTCTTTCCTCCAATGAAAGATTAGACTTTTGCACTCTGCAGAGTTATGATTAAATTAAACCATGTTGAAATTATCTTTATACTGAAGCTGTGAGATAAGTGAGATGCTGGTGCAATAAATATTTCACTTTTATTTATTTTCTGTAAAAAAAAAAGAAAGAAACATTATTTTAACATTTTAAACTATGTCACTTAAGTTTCAGAAACAAGAATATGTTGCAATTTGACTGAAAGAAATGTTTAGGATTTGATTATTCTCTTTACTGTCTACTGAGTATGTGAAGGTAACAAATGTTTTTTATCTCTGGTAGAATATACCATCATCCTGTTCCAGAACAAAGATTCTGTGATAGAGATTATTATTATTATTATTATTATTATTATTACATAATGATTAAGTTAAAAAATATTTCAATTCAGATGAATATTATGATTAGTAAAAACTTTTGAAGACTGATAAAATTATATCACATTTTAAGAATATTTTGTTCCAGAGGAAGGAAAGCATTCATAGTTATTTAAGTACTAGTAGAAACCTTTTTCTGGTACTGGTAATTTTCCTGACCCTCTGCATCTGTACTGATTGAGCCAGTGAAGCATGTTTTACCAGGCCTGTCATAATCCAATCTGCTTGATACCTAGAGGCTGGTTTTCTGTTACATGTTATGCATGTACACGTATATTGTCACGTGATAGTGACCAGACATGGGGTTTGGATTGGCAGTTGGATTCATTGAACACTTATAACTCATAACTACAGGTAACTATAATGTTGTCACTAATGTACACAGTTAACAGATCACTATGGCACATGCTGAGTCTCAGTCTTTTATGTCTTCACTGGTCATTTCTCAGTTACTCTCTTCACTAGCCATTGCTAGGCTCTGGATGCTGGCCACTGGCAGCCACAAACTGCCCACTTACAGCTCAATATGCACTAACCAACCACCCACTCAAGATTGACTCCCTTGTTCACTTGATCCTAGTTATATAGCCTCAGGTTGGACCTCATAGAAAACACCGACTCCAACAGCTCCTCTATCATGGTGTGACATGTGAGTGAGCCATTGCCGACGGATGGCTCTCTTGTTTACTGAACCATTACCTAGCAATGGGTGACTTGTGTTAAACTATTCCATCATGTTACAGTATGCTAAGAAAGGGCACAGTCATAAACAAGAGATTTTCAGCCCTTACATTCTGTTGAGGATGTATTAAGTGTCATTTGGCTCTTACAAGACAATCTGACAGTTTTTCTTTATATATACAGGGTGTCCCAGGAGGAATGTGCCAAACTTCGGGAGGGTGTTCCTTATGTTAAAGTATGCCGATATAACCCAAAACACCTATGTCCAAAGTTGAACGGTTACGGAGATAATGGCCCAAGAAAAGTGTGGTCTTCTGGCAGGTCCAAGCACTGTACCTCGCTGTACCTCTCAGCTGAGAGCCCTTATCTATGTTTGTCCTTGAGTGCGATGATACTCCCTAGCCGTGCTTATGTAGTTGGCTCATACCAGAACGCGCAGTCAGCACGTTACGTCATCGCTCGCCAGTCATGTGTTATGTATACTGCTTGGAAACCTAAGGACAATTATGACATGGCGAGCGAGTATTTTGTACTTCACTTTTATGGCTTTCCGTCACTCACAAGTTAGTTTGATGTTACGTACATTATTAACATTACAGAATCCACATATTCCTGCCAGTTTTAATATGTATTTTGTAATCAACAAGTGTGTAACCCCGGTCAAAGTTTGACACTTCTCTGGCCATTATCTCCATAACCGTTCAACTTTGGACATAGGTGTTTTGGGTTATATCGGCATACTTTAACATAAGGAACACCCTCCCGAAGTTTGGTCCATTCCTCCTGTGACACCCTGTATATATATATATATATATCTTATAATAAAGATTAACTTTGTTTTGATTTAAGTTCATTTCTGTAGTATATCTGCTTCTGGTTAAAGTGACCACAACATTTTTAAGCATCTTCTGCCATCTCTTGGATTAAATACAAAGTTTTTGGTGCTAATATGGTTGAAAACATGTATAGTGTCTCTATTTTCTGCTACAAAAGAGGCCATAAATGAAGCATAAAATAAGATAGAACGAAAAGGGGATCTTGTTTTCGTGAAAAGTTGGATATTTTTTTAAGTATTATCAAGAAATGAGGGTGGAAGTAGAGATGTAATTCAAATCACTAAAATGCTGGCCACGCATATATATATAAATAAGTGCTAAAATTGTCATTTATATTTGTTGTTTAGTTTAAAGTACTGTTTTCATGAAGCATGAAACATTTCTCCATGTTTTATGATAGGCTGAAAACTGGGAAACTAACGTTTGAGAATGGGGACAAGGAAAGGTTAAATTTGTTTATCTTGTTTTTAATTGGCCATTCATGATTTTCAGTCTGGCAGCGATATGAATAAGAAGCATAGAAGAAGAGTGGCGTGGAAACGAGGTAAAATAATTAAGCAGCACAAACACCCTCGTCCTGGGCGCCCCAAAAGATCATTGAAAAGTTCATGTGAATCTCCAGAAACCAGTGTGATTTCATTAACATCAAAATCAGATCATACAGATGAAAAGTCAGTTCCTGGCTCAGCAATGCTTGGGGATGAAACTTGCTTAAATGAACGTGATTCAAAACTGTTAGATGATGTGATCTCAAGTCCACATGCCAGACATTCTCCAGAAAGGATTAGTGAACATTCCAATGGTGCTTTCTCTCACATTACTACAAATTGTGAAACTGGTGAAATAGAAACTTCAGCATTTCAGAGCCTGAATTCAGAATTGAAAGTCAACAGTTGTAAAAGTGAAAGCAAGGAAGTGGAATTAAATTCTAGTCAAATTGTTATATCTGAAAACCTTAATACATCTCCAATTGAATCTCAGTTTAAAAAGTGTTCTGGTGAATCATCATTGTGTTCTCATCTAAAATCCAAGGAAGCGTGTGATATCAATGGTGACATGAAGGTAGACCCTCTGATTCTTAGGATTAAAAATGATTCTACAGTGAAGGAATCTGAGTGGACTGTGGAAAAGGTGTCTTCGTCTCAGACTGAAAATGTGGATCAGAAGAGAGATAATGTTATAAACATAAATAAGATAAGAAGACCTATGTATAATCCATATTGGCTGGAGCCTAATCCAGACGATTTCAAATTAGTAGCAGACTCAGTGGAAGGTGTGAGGCAACTTCTAATGAAGTACTGTGAAGATGATTTGGTGTTAATTGAGCAATTGGATAAAAAGGTAAAAGAATCTCATTAATTTGTTACCATATTCACATTCCTCTCTTCAGGGTGCTTAACTTTGTTGCTTCTTTATGGTTTTAAGGCTCTCAAAACATTGGTGAAGAAAAGTCATATCTTGTGGATTGTAACACCATGTAAGGTAAAAAGGTAAAGCTTTCCTTGTAACAGGCCATGGAGGCCCATAGGGTTCTGGGATGTTGAGGCTCCCACATTTTCTAGGCAGTTGGCTCACAGATGGTGGTGAGGTTGTTGGCTTTACATACTGACCGCCCTTTACCCCCAGGAAGATCCCTGGTACTCATTTCTGTTAGAGGCTGAGTTGACCACCAGGGCCATAATGCAGCTGGAAGGATTAGGTAAATTGAAAAAATCCAGTGACCTCATTGGGAATTGAACTCATGACCTTCCAGCTTGTAGCATGGTGCCTCAACCAACTACACTACTGCATGCCCCATGTAACAATATGTAGAGTGTTGAAAGTCAGCCAGTGTGTCCGAGGAACATGTTGCCTCGAAGCTGATAACGGGCTGCTGCTACCTGCTCCATGCTAGTTTCTGCATGGCTCGTTCGTTGATCCTGATGATGGAGGCGGCACGTTCCCCTGAAATATTGCTTGACTTTCAGTGGACTACATGTTGTTATATCCGAGGAGACAGAACTCTTGTTGTATACTTCTTTTGAGCATCTGTGTCCTCAAATCAAAACATTTCATGCAGTTAGCTGTCCCCTGGGGCTTAACATAACTGATCTCAATTCAACTGAAAACAGTTCATGTGATTTCATGTTGTGAGCATGCAGACCTTCTTGAAGCTACCAAAGATATGTAACATTGTTGTAAGAAATATAAATAAAACTTGTTGCTTTGAAAAGTTACGAGGTTCACTGTTGCACATTCTCACTGGCTGTCTTTCTGCAGAGACAAAATGTTGAAAAACTTGTGCCATGTTACTGTTGATTAGTATATCTAAGAATGTAGATGGAAGTTTACAGTTGGCACATTCAGACCTGTTTATATTCCTGTTGCAGTATTACATCATATATTTTGCTGTAAGGCCTGTAGATATAATGTTGACTGTTAGAATTCTTATAGCTGGTGTAATGGTAGGACTTAGGAAGGTAAAAAGGTAAAGCTGTGCCTGTAAGATGGCATGGAGGCCCATACGGTTGTGAGACATCGAGGCTCCCACATTTTGTAGACAGTTGGCTCACAGATGGCGGTGAGGTCGTCAACCTTGTGCACCGTCTGCTCTCTACCCTCCCAAGAAGATTCCTGGTACTCATTTCTGTTAGAGGCTAAGTTTGCCACAGTGCTGCTGGAAGGATTAAGTCAATTGAAAAAATCCAAGTACTTTTCTGGCATTCATCTCATCACAGTGGGAAAACAGTAATGTACCTTGGTCAAAGTTGACTTCTCCAGGATTCTGTTCAAGAGTGGATCAGCAAAAATTAGTCTTTGTGCAACGTACATATAGGTACATAACAATTTTTTTAATTATCACTGTTGGATGAAACCAGTACAGAGCATATTTTTATATATTGTGTGTGAAGAAGCTCTGAGACTGCGAAAACTGAGAAATTAGATTGCAAGAAGTATGGGTAAGAAATTGTCATGGTGCCTTCTTAGTATTAAATGTGTTTATTTGTACTGAGAGATAACAGAAATTGTAAATGAATAGTGATGTCTTAGTAATTACTGTGCATGAGGTTCTATCTAAAAGTTCCTGCCTAGGTCAAAAAAGAAATAATGGCTTGACTTACTCAATTTTGGTTGCCATCTCCTTCAAAATACCCTCCTTGGGAATGTGTACAGTGACCCCATCATTTTTTTCATGCTTCAGAAGCACTGTGGAAGTAATTTTTCTTAATGCTGTTGATTACTGCTTGTGATTCCCTTTGGATGTCAGACATTGTTTCAAAATGTCATCCATTCAGTTTCATTTTCAATTTGGGAAACAAAGCTAAATCACGAGGGGCTAAGTCCAGTGAGTAGGGAGGATGGGGAATGATAATCATGTTGTTGTTGTTGTTGTTAGTCACAAACTCTGTGGTCTTCAGGGCTGGGTGGGCGGGCGCATTTTCGTGATGAAGGAGCACTGCGGCGCATGTTCAGATTTTCTGTTAAGATCTCCTGGCAAACTCCATAACTGATTCCAATGGTGTCTGCAAGATCATGGATTGCTAAGCGACAATCTTTGTGGATGAGTCCTCAAATATTTTCTGTCTTCTTGCTGGTCCTTGGTTGCCCTGAACATTTGTCATCTTCAACTGACACTCTGCCAGCCTTAAAATGCGAATGCTATTCAAGAACCACTGTCCAACTTAAAGGATGTTCTCCAAAAGCCTCACGAAGAATTTTAAGTGTTTCGGTAGCAAATTTATCAAGCTCCATGTAAAATTTGATGCAGACACATTGCTCGATTTTGCCATCCATCACAGACAAAATGAAACACATATTGAAAAGGTGCTCATGTAAAAACGATTCCTGTTCACAGTGTGGTGTCACATGGCAGACTGGTACAATAGACTTTCGGAAGTGTGACTTGGGCCTCCCCTCTCGTCTTCTTTCACAGAGGAAGTAACAATAATAACAGTCCAGGAATTTCCGATACTGTCTCCCCCCTCCCCCCAACACAATATTCTATACCTGCTGCCCCACCTCCCCAGACCCTTCCCCTCTCCTCTCTACTAATTTCCCATGTAGCCCCTCTCACTTCCCTTCCTGCTCTTATACAGCTGGGTTTATTCTTGACATTAGTCCGTTAGTCTCTTAGCACCTGCTCATGCTGGTTCCTCACTCACACATCTACCGTGAAGATGGAGGTGATACATTCCTCTGAAATGTCGGTTAACAATATCTACACAGCGCCACATCCCAGGAGTCTGCTTTCTTCTTAGTCACCAACCTCAAATCTTACATGTGTAATACAACTTTGTAAACATCTTGAATCCACATTCTTCCCTTAATATGAGAGGCCAGGTTTTACACATATATAGCTTATGGTAGAATTACAGTTATATATATTTTAATCTTTGTTTTTTAGGTAAGACTGGAAGACAGCTTCTGAATGGAGTGGTAGCTGGCATTCCTAAAATTATTATCAGCATACACTGGAAGCTGTTGTGTCCCATTGATCTCCAGTCCTTCCTGGTTTTCCTTTACCATCCTAAAACAAATTTGAAAAATAATAGTAAAATATCACCTCTGCTTCAGACCATTGTGAAGCAGAAAAACATTGAACACATATTTACCTAAATGGACTTCATTGTTGTTTGTTTGTTTGAACATATTTTAATTATCCTAACCAATATCATGAAAATATCAAATTTACTGGGAATATTGTAAAATGCTTCTCTCCTAACTGAATCATAGGCCATTGTAGTCCCATTTGATCTCCACTATCTGACAAATGTTGATTATTGGTGATTTATGAGTCACAGTTATTTTGTATAAATATGGAGTTGTAGCCTTGAGAGGAGAATATTGCAAAAATTTTGTATGTACAGTAGTTGATACACTCAACTCTCGATTATCCGGGGGTGGATAAACCAGTTTGCGGCTTAACTGGGGCTACCGGGGCTTTTTTGAGGCTTATATGTTATTTAATATTCATTCACTTTTGTTTCACATGGTGAGTTGTAACACTATTTTCGCACTAGTGTGAACCGAGCTCTGCATTTTTTGGTCCCGTTATGCTAACACAATGTTCTAGGGTAGGGGTGAAAGAATGCAAGGATTTGTGGAAAGTTTCAAGGACAGATACACCGCCCCAGTTAGTCTCTTCATATCAATCAAGTGCGTTAGCAAAATGTCAGGGTGTAGAAGGAAGCGTGTTGTGTCAAGTATTCAACAGAAACTCGTGTGAGCCGGGCTTTGAAATGTTAAGCAATGACGAAATCGTAAGTTCAGTGGGGGTGCAGCCAGAAGAGCGGGAAGAAAGTGAGAATGAGGAAAAGGTGGACAGTGCTTCTAGTAAGAAAATATCACATGGTGCTGCTCTTAATCTTTTGGAATCCTTACTAGACTATCTTGAGAGTGAAGAGAACAGTTTATTAAGTGACAGGCTAATATTACAAAGTGTTAAGTGTGAATATTTGTAAAAAGTGTTGGATGTTGTTGAACACTGTGATTGAAATAACTAATTCATACTTCAGTGTAATGTAAAAAAAGTATTAAATAGGCCATGAGATGACATAAAAATGAGGTTGAATAAATTTAAATACAGGTAGGCCTATAGTATTATGAAGGTACAGTATTACAGTACTGCTTTTAATAAAATTTGTCTTAACCAGGTTTTCGATTAATCGTGATTTCCATCCCCACCATTATCCCAGATAATCGAGAGTTGAGTGTACTATAATATTTCTCAGTGTTACCATTGGCAACTGGACTTTCTAAAGTGGTCACCTATCCAAGTGCTTACCAGGCATAATGTTGCTTAACCTTTTTCTGCTGTGGGTCAAGCAAGGTGGAAAGTGACACTACCACTGCTCATAGGTAGGTTGGTGTGGGAATAGGAAGAAAGGAGTAGTGGTCCCTTCATCACTTCCCACCCAGCTTGACCCACAGCAGATTTTATTTATTTATTTGATCAATACTTCATGTAATCCATACAGGTGATAACAAGTCACCACAGATATAGAAGTAGTCCATTATTAAAAATGAGTGGAATAGTAGCAGTTATAACTAGGGACCGGATTTTTATGCCCTAATAATCCCTTAAATATGTATGCATGTATGCATGAAAACCTTCTGAAATATGCACTAAAATATGCACATAAAAATTTATACCAAATATTAAAATTGATTTTACATTATTTTAAGACCAACAAATCAATATTTAAGTTCATTTTATGTAATCACTGAATGATTCACTTGCAATAAAAAGCTATACTTAAATACAACTCATGCAACAAAGCCAACATATATCATTACAAATTTAAAAAACTAATGGTAGTCACATTTAGCTCTCTGAACTTTCAACTTCTCTTCTGTTGCAGTTCACAATTACTAAATGTTTTAGGTTTTCCATAGTTAATCACCTCCTATTGTCTCGTAAGATGTCCTTATAGCGGAAAAAACTTCTTTCCACCTCATACGAACTTATGGGCACATGCACAAAAACCACTATTTGTTCCACTGTTAGTGATTTTTTACTTGGCAGTTCAGTATGTTTACTGGCTAAAATTTCTTCGATTTCACAAATTTGTTCATATCCTGGATTTTTTTAAAGAATGCTGTATACTTTTTCCTTTACTACTTCACCAATTCTTCCAGGAACCAAATTCAATTTTGAAACAATGGCTGTGAACACGCTTAATGACTGATACAAAGTAGTATTGCTATTGCTTGCCTCCAGTGAGGAAAGATTAGTTTCTAGTTCTGCATTTTTTAGTACATCTTTGGCAAGTTGTATTGATGCTGCACACAGCCACTTGCCCCATTCAAATTGGTTCTGGCGGAAGTGGAACGCTTGGTGCTACTGCTTTAAAGGCTTCTTTTCTGTATGGCGCTTTAACAAATACGTGTATACCTTCTTCACAGAAGACACCAACTTGTCAACAAGCGGAAAATTTGCACAAATTGTTTTTGCAACATGGTGCAACCCATGGGCAAGGCAAGTCAAATGTGTCACATTTGGAAATATAACTTTAAGAGCAGTACTGGCTTTCATGATATAACTTGCGGCATCAGTCACAAAGAGCAATATGCGCTCATACTGAATGCCATTCGCCCATAGTAAATTAATGGAATTTATAAAAAATTCAGAAACTGTGTAGCTATTTGTGGTTTCAAATTGCTCTGCCGCAAGAAGATATGGGGTAGATTGTTCAGTCTTATTAAGGGATCCAACTATACAATTTGCAATAAACCGTCCCTCACAATCTTGTGTTTTGTCGATTGGTGCCCACACAAAATTATCTAGAATCTTATCTCTAATGCTTTCAATCGTAACACTGCTTCACGTAATTTTTTGCGCACAGTAGATTCATCCGGCACTTTGCACTGTGTATACTTCTCTATGAAGTTTCTCAGAATAGGATTGGTTACTTCCCACAGTGGAATATCTTCTGCTAAAAAGGCTTCGCATAAATCAAAGGAAAACTGTGAAAAACTATTATTAGAAAATTCACTAAGCAATTTTTGAACAGGAGCACTTTTCATGGATTTAATTTTAATATTCTCTTTGTGTATACAAATGCTGAAGCATGTGAAAGCGTTTTTCACAACCGTTTACTCACACCCTCGGCAATAAAGAGTTTCGTTATCCATACTTATCATCTCTCCTTCGAACTCCCGCTGATACAGCTGTAATTTAGTTTTCTGACTTACTTTCACTTTTGGCATGACTACAGAAAGCTAAACAAACTTAACTACAGACTAGTCACCACTAATGTGAATGGTCCCCAGCTTCAAATGAAGAAGCATAACGAACCTCATGGAGACTTTGGAAATAAATAAGTGAAGTCCCTTATAGGTTGAATAGTATTACATCGATAGTGGCTACACGTGAACGCTTCTGACTAATCTCTTCGCGGCCACTTTGATGGTACGTGGATGAGGCAAGTTATGAGTAGAGGGATCGGGGATGTCCTATCCTGGGTATTTCATCAGAAACATAAATCATGATGAAATGTTGAGTCAAATTTGCAACATATTCTAATATGGAAAAGAAAAATTGTATACACACGACCGTGATTGAAAATTTGAATAAAATTAAAAAATATGTATGATAAACATTTTAAAAAGGAAATATGCAGTATAAATAGAGATCTTTGAAAATATGATGCTTATTCACAAAACAGGAAAAATATGCATCTATATGCACCATCAAACCATGTCCCGAATTTAAGAAATGAAGTAATTTATACATATATCCAAACTAGCATACTTTCTGGTTGCCAGAAAGAAATATGCATTTGCATTAAAATCCGGTCCCTAGTTATAACACACAGCCTTGTCAATAAATAACACTATGTAATCAAGGACACTATTTGTATCAATCACAACAATATTTCATATAATACACTAAAACATACGAACACGAAAATAATATACAAAGGAATAACACAACTGTAAATAGGTAATATAAAGAACAATTACATTATGTATGATCCATCATTATGCTGACCATTCAAGGTATTCTTTTACTGAATAAAAGGATTCCTTTAAAAAAAGTTTTTATTAACTAATTTTAATTTTTTAACATCATGTAACAGTTCCCTTATGTCACGTGGTAAATGATTAAAAATTTCTATACCCATATAATAGGCACCCTTTTTGCATTTGGTCAAATTTACCGATGGTATATGTAAATTAGTACTTTGTCATGTATTTATAGTATGTATTTCATTATTAATTACAAATCCGTGCATATTTTTTACCACCAATAACACTAGAGAAAACGTATATTGTGAATAAAAGGGCAATATATTTAAACTTCTAAAAAGTCCCCGACAAGATATTTTAGGATTCACATTTGTAATGTTTCTTACAATTCTTTTTTGTACTATAAATACATTTTTACTATTAGTCGCATTTCCCCAGAAGGCAACACCATACATGATAATAGAATGAGCATAAGCAAAATATATTATTTTTAAGTCTTCTATAGTTAAAAACAATTTAAGAGATTAGGTTAAATAGCATTATGCCTGGGGAGCACATGGATGGGTGACTGCTTGGGAACACCAGTTGCTGATCATTTTTTATGTACTCCATGGTCTTTAAAATGGTGTTTCAGTTTTTACCTATCCACTGTCCCTATTGGCTGAGACCAGACACCAGCTCCCACCTTTCCCCTTACAGTTGTTTTGGAACAGAAACCTACATACACAAACACTCACCTATCCTACTCACTGAGACCCTGAAGATGGAGGCATCATGTGCTTCAGAAATGCTGCCATTTCTACATCCACACAGTGCAAAGGCATAAGAGCACAATCAACATCAACAGTGAAATACCACAAAAGCCTAACATCAGTATTCATACATTTTCTAATATGTTAGAAAACAATTCCCTTCCAGTTTTAAAAATTTTGTAGGTACTTCCAGCAGAAACTTCTGGACATTATCAGCTCAGTACTGTCACTTGTAACAGCTTTGTACAAAAGTAAAACTGAATTATTGATTTTAAATCTCAATTTAAGTCCATGATAAATATGCTGAACTCTGTTAGATTTGAGGTTTTCACAGTGGTGATGATAAAGATGACAGCATTCTGGGTTGTAATGATGTGTGCTTGGCTTACTCTTCAGCCCTGAAGATATGACCTTCCAATTTGGCGTGCTGTCTCTGAAGTACACAGTGTTACATCCCAGAAAACCACACTTTTCCGTGCCAAACTCTGTTCCTTCCAGTGGCCCCTACACGCACACCGCCAAAATAAAAACAGGAATGTGATTGCAATGACAGATTTCATCAGGCTAGCCTGATAGCTTCATTGGTGCTTATTTCTCCTCTGTTGTATAATTTTTAAGTATTTCCCATCATAGAAATTTTCAAGATCACCCTAAAAGTCACTTCTTCTGCTATTTTGCTACAAGCTTGTTTCATGTTGATACTGTTCAAAGTCAGTGTGGCATATCTTATTATGCCAAGGTATGCTCACCAAATTTTGTGAGAATTGGCCGGTACGTCCAAAAGTTGTTTGAAGGAGACAGGCATGCAGACAGTCATGACAATACCATAAGCCTGGCTTTCTTTATGAAATAAAGGATTAAGTAGATAACTGGTAATTGAAATGGTTTGCAGTATTTTTGTTTGCATTGTTTGTTTGTTTCAGTCTCGAAAACGATGTCATCCGTCATGTGAAGTGAAGCTGGCTCATCGGTTGGTGTCACTTATGAATGATCTGGAATCAATGGAACTGAAAATTCTTACCAGTACCAAAGGTGCTAGGGAAAGGCTATATAATGAATGGCAAGACTTCAGAAATAGGTAAAGACGCTGTAGAGCATGAGCCTTGTTTGTTTGTGTTGCCAAAGTAAGACACTACTTATTTCAGAGTATGGAAAGTTGACCCCTGTATATTTCTGGATGTTTCTCAGCTATCATTTTGTGGCCAAGTATATTTCCATCAGATTCATCGCAGTAATATTGATTGTATATGTTCAGTACCATTCATAGCCTGGACTGATTAAATATCAGAGTTGGCTGGTTAATACTTCGTTATATTCAGACTTGAAGCTTGTGCCTGTTGCAGATGGTGGGTTTGGTGGGTTGTGATGGTGCTTGGGACTTCAGTCCCAGTATTTCCTGTCCCTATATCTGTACCACTTCTCTGCATTCAGCTTACTCTTCTGTTCTCAAGATGGAGGCAGCACATTCTTCCAAAACCAGTAAATATCTACCAGACTGCACAGCTTCACAGTTACCAATGTTTTGGATCAGTTTGCTGTATTAAGTTTCAGGGCCAGTCATCACATTTTGAGAATACTGCAGTCTTCATTTTAACTCCTGCAAGAACTTATCTCATGTAAATAACCTATATATTTTCATTAAAAATGCTACTCATGTTCAGTGTAACATTTGCAGTGGTGATATCGAACAGTTTTCTGTCTGCTGTGCAGCAGCAATAGCACTATAGATTTGTTCATGTTCATAGCTTACACTTTCTTTTTGTTTTCTTCACACTGTATGAAAGAATTCTCCATACATTCTGCAATTAAAAAGTTTTTTATTTAAATGGGTTACTGACAGGAAAAGGAGCAGAGGGAAGATACAATGGTAATCTTGGTATTGAAGAAAATCAGTTTTAAAATCTGCTAAGGGACAGACAGTTACATCATGAGGTATACACTGTTACAGTTCTTAAATTATTTTAACTTATTTTCTATGTATAACTGTTTGCAACCTATAAAATGAGTTTGTAACAGAGAACCACAGTGAGAGAAGACCAGAGAGAAATATTCTTAATTTTGTCCTCTCTCCTATATGACATGGATCTCCATTATGTAAATGCAGTGTAATATCATAATGTAACATGTTTAGCCACTGAAAACGCCGTTCAGATTGTTAATTGGTTTATTTAACAACCTACAAGTCGTAACTACAATTGATTATAACACTGTTGCGGGGTTTCACACTTTATAACCCTATTCGCAATAATCTCTTCACTCTGCGGGGTTTCACACTTTATAACCTTATTCGCAATAATCTGTTCACTCTATCTTCAGTAGTCTACATGTATTCACAGTATGGGAGCTATATAAGTGTCACTATGTTACACACTCCCAATTACACAATTACACGCGCGTCCGGTTCTTCTTTCTGCAACTGCTGCTATACTCCAACTGTCTTCGGCTCACACACTAACTCGTAACTAATTCACTTACTGCTCAGCCAGCTTTTTATTCCGTTTGCTGTTGCCTGTTGCCCGTGTCACAGCGGTGTTGCGTGTATCGTCACAGTAGGAAGCGGTGCCACGTAGCCTGGGGGGGGCCACTGACTCACCTGCTACGTCACTGCTGGGGAGGGAGGGGGTGTCCTCCATTGCGCAACACGTCACAATAAAAAGTTAAAATTATAGTTTTCATTTCTTCCACTTTGTTAATCCCTAACACATAAATGTGAACCTTAAGTCACATTGCCCAAATTCTATGAGTAAATTTGTGTATTGCAGTTTCATGTCATAGAATTCTCATGTATAATGTTACAGATCTGCTGACTACATTGATCCAGATGAGGCATTCTGGCTAAATGAAAAGGAACCTGTTGAGGTCCCTGAGTGTTATACTCCTCAAACACAAGCCTCTCAAAACTCAGATACATTAGAAGACACAGAATTACCTGAGACCCAAGTAACAGATCCTGATGGTACATCTGAAGGTTAGCAATCTGGGAAAGCAGAATCTGAAGAACTGTGACAGCCCACAATAATGTTTTTAGATTCTATTTACTAAGTGATCTATTTCAGAAGTGCAGGATTTGGCAGAATATCATAGTACAGGGGTCAAATGCTTTTGTGGGCTAAAATGAGATTAATTACTTACTCATCTCATTATTGGTAATGTCTTCATAGGATGAAACTTATACGAAGGGGGACCCAAAAATAACCGGAACCGACCTGTTGCGCGCGCATGCTTTGTAGTTACAAGTTGTGCTGCTAGGCGGTGTTAGCTGGGGGTCTCCCGCGACTGTTAGTGAGCTGGCGTCAGTCTGAGTTAAGTGGTTTGTCTGTGGTGCTCTGTTGTGTGCGTTCCTGTTTCAACCCTTTGACGATTAGTGAGATGGCCGACCAGAAGGAACAAAGAGTGTGCGTGAAATTTTGCTTTCTGTTAGGGAAAACTGCAGCCGAGACTGTTGGGATGCTTCGGCAAGCCTTTAATGATGATGCTTTGGGGAAATCACAGGTCTACGAGTGGTTTTCCCGTTTCAAATCTGGCAACATGTCAACAGAAGACATGCCACGCCCCGGGCGTCCTTCGACAGGAAGAAATGACGAAAACATTGCCAAAATCAAACGTGCAATTGATGAAGATCGTCGAAAGACCATTGACCAACTTTCTGAGGAAACGAACATCTCATGGAGCACGGTCCAGCGAATTTTAACCGAAGGTTTGCACATGAGACGGGTGTCTGCAAAATTTGTTCCTCGCTTGCTCGGAGATGACCAAAGAGAAAACCGCGTGAATGTTTGCCGCGACTTGAAGAGTGAAGTGCAGTTTTCCCTAACAGAAAGCAAAATTTCACGCACACTCTTTGTTCCTTCTGGTCGGCCATCTCACTAATCGCCAAAGGGTTGAAACAGGAACGCACACAACAGAGCACCACAGACAAACCACTTAACTCAGACTGACGCCAGCTCACTAACAGTCGCGGGAGACCCCCAGCTAACACCACCTAGCAGCACAATTCGTAACAATAAAGCATGCGCGCGCAACAGGTTGTTTCCAGTTATTTTTGGGTCCCCCTTCGTATGAGGTGCCCTTATGAGGGTCATGGGTAGAGGAAAGTGAAAGTGAATTCTGTTGCTTCCCTGACAGCCTGGTCCATATGTTGGTTCTTTTTGGGCAGAATACTGATATCTTGTATTAAGGTGTGATGACCCAGGTGTATGCCAGTCTGCTGCATCTGACTTATGTGGATGTTAAGTGCAGATGTTCTGATGTTGCTATTTGATCCTGCCTCAGTGTAATGACTTGACTATGCAATGCAGACTATCTCACACCTGCAGAGGATATTACATGCCTGGAGATTTAAGGGTCAGGTCATCCTTCATGGGCTGAAAGAAAATATGATAGGAAGTGTTGTTATGCTTGGAGGGAGTAAAGTCTGTATGATTCACAGGAAATAGGGCATAAATAGCCTTTACAGCTGAGATGCCTGTAAACTTACATGCAGGTACAGTGACACAAATACTCACTGTATAAAACTTTACTGCTCCATGATCAGCATGGTAAGAAATTCACTGATGATGCTATAAATGCCTTGATGATTTATGTATTTATTTGATGTCATGTATGCTCTTTTCTAGGTCATATACTGACACCTGTAAGTGGCATGAAGTTGCGTCACCGTGTGATCATCAGAGAGAAATATGATGATCTGGTGACATCAGATGAATCTAGTGAAGATGATTCTGATGACAGTGACAACTGGGTAATGCCTAAGAGCCGGAAGAGCAGATCTATAAAACGGAAGAAAATGAATGTTGTAGCTCCCAATTCTTTGAAGAAACAGCATACTTCAGAAGAGGTACACATTGGTTTATTTATATTTAAAAGCTTTATGTTGGCCTTCTGGAAGTTTATGTCAGGAAGTAAGTTTATAAGGCATGTAATGTCACAATCAAAGGACCTACACATATTGTGGGTATGTCAGAGGGATTTGTTAATCAGTGCTGGTAGCACTCCGTACTAGTTCACTTGCCAATTAGCACTTGCTATTTGTATGTGTCAGTTTAGCATGCCTGCTCAGCTGGAACAGTGGTCCAAGAACAAAGCTTATGCTTTTAATTCAGCTTTTTAATGCATGAACTGTGTCAGCAGTAGAAATTCATCATCAGGTCAAGGGTGATTATGGCAAATATGATATGAGTCAACAGAGGGCAGCAAAATAGTGTCTGGAATTTTGAGGAAGAATTATTAGTACAGAGAACTGTGAAAGGCATGGGAGAGCCACAGTAACAGGAGCTGTTGACAAATACATTCATGGAAAATGTGATTCACAACAACAGAAGGATCACTGTGAGTGAACTGCAACATGAGTTGAATCTGTCACTTGAAACACTCAGCATTCCTTCAAAATTTAGGGCTTAACAAAGAGTGTGAGCATTAACAGTGTATAATATGATAGGTATCTCAGGTTTTGTGGAGAGTGTCAGAATGTAGTGGGATGACAGTAGAATTACGCTGCATTTTCATATCGGGTACTATAATAAAGTACCTTGCTTGAAATATATGCCTTGTAAACTTACTCTCTAAATGACCCTCATATCAAGTTCTTTAAATTTCAGTTTTCTTGGAAATGTGACAGGACCAGCAAGTAAAATTCTAGTATGGGGGAATTGCATTGAATAATAAATTGTGAATATAAATGAATTTCGTAAAATCGCAAATATCTCTCCCACAGCATTTGCAACAGCCACCACCTAAGCATGAAGAATCGTCACGAAAAATGGTTGCAAACTCCATGCCAGACATTGAGATTTTAGATGATGTTTCAAAACCAATAACAGAGAAACATCCTACAATGTCAGCCTCTGCACTTCGGGTAAAGAAGCGCCTCTTTTTCCAGAATGAAGCTTCTAACAGTGAAGCTAATCGCCAACTTGAATGGGAGAAGAATCGTCAGAAGCTTGTAAACTTAGCTGCCAACAAAGCAGCAGCTGAACAGTCTACTGTGGCCACATCAGCTACAGTTATTGTTGATAATATGAACAAAATAATTCTTGATGGTAGTGGCAAAATTACCGTTTCAGGGACAAATAACAAGGCTTTGCTTACATTACAAGGTCGTAAAATAGGCGATGTTATCAAAGAAGGAAAGTTTGTTAAGAAACAAGGCTTAATTACTGGTGTGATTGGCATAGAAATGGAGAATGGTCAGTCTCATATATCAGGAGTAAAAAATACAGAAGCCCTTGATGGGAATATTCAAGCCGGAAGATATTCATCGAAGAACTCTGTGAATGTATCTAAAGGATACAAGCAGGAAGCAGTCTCTCCAGCAGCGCAGAGTAGGAGTTGTGTGAATAAGATTGTTGATGCTGTCAGTACACCAAACATAAAAGGAAATGAGAAGCAAGCTATTGAGACTACAATCACTACAGCTAATTCTGCAAAAAGTTCAACATCAAATGTGGTGTTACAGAATTCAGTTCAGACCTTCAGAGCGATTTCAGCCTCAGTTGAACAATCATCACCACCTGGTGCAACTCAGAAAAAGAAGAATATGATGCTAATAAAACCAGTAACACAGGTAAAATCTGAGGTAGTTTGTATCAGTGATGACAGTGATAACAGTGATGTAGAATTTGTTGGCACAGTCTATAATCCAAAGTTGGACTACTCGCATAATAAAAAGAACAAGGCTATACCCACACATCAGCACTCCACAATAAGGACACAAACTGACCCAACCTCACAACAGAAACATATTGCTTCAAAATCTGTTTCTCATGTACAAGGAGAGTCATCCACAACTAGAATAAAACAAGAAACTTCAACTTGCTCCACAATAAATACACAAGATAACTCTACCTCACAACAGACACATATTGTTCCAAAAACTGCTTTTCATGTGTCAGGAGAAACATCCGTATCTGAGGTGAAACCAGTAATGCCAGCTTGCAGTCGCACCAAACATGATCTCTCCACGATAAGGACACAAGGTAACTCAGTCTTACAGCAGACCCATATTGCACCAAAAACTAACCCCCATATGCAAGGAGAGATGTCCACAGCTGGAATGAGACCTGTAACTTCTACTTCCAATAATGTTGCCATTCTTCCAAATCATTTCCAAACTCTGGTTGCAAATACCCACACCTTAACTACACAGTTTGTCCCTAACACAACATTGATACAGGATAAAATTGAACAGCAATCTCCAGGAAGATGTGTTAAACTAGAAATGGATATTGCTTCACAAAACCAAGATAATATGAGTGACACAATGCAGAAACCGGTGATAGTACAACCAGGTGGCAGCATCAAAAGTTTGAGAAACTTGCAGTCAGACTCAGTCCAGTATGTTCAGAACCAAAGTCTAGGACCATGTACAGTTGACACAGTTGTATCAGCACTCTCTCCTTCCAGCACAAAGAGTAATCTAAATATACATTTAGATAATTCAGTGGCTGCTTCAGGTACTGTTACACATGCACAGAAATTTAATTCTATTAGTAATATTGCAGTTGGTAACTTAGGAATTAATTTGGAAAGCCAGCTTGTTCCCACTTATATACCTGCAAGTCAGTCACCTTCCCATATAAATCCTTATGTTGCAACAGCAAGAGCAAGTCCTGGTACTTCACTGATCCAAGTGAAGACATCTAGCGTTTTATCAGAGCAGACAAAGAGACCTGCTGATTCATTCACACAAGTCGTTAGTCCTGGAGCTCCAGTAGCCAAAACAAAGAGCCCTGCCTCCAAACCAAGTTCATTTTCCAAGATACCAGGCACTTCATTAGCCCCAACAAGGATTATTGCTCCTCCAGTAGACCAGGCAAAAAGTCCTAGTATGTCATGTGAGAAAATAAGGTGTCCTGTCACTCCAGTGTACCTAGGACCAAATTCTCCTTCTCAAGTAACCCAGGCAGGTAGTCATTCTCAGCCAGTTGAGATAAGGAGTCCTAGTTCATCACTGGTTAAGACAAGGAATCCTGACTTTTCATCAACTCTGACAAGGAGTCCTCATACTCCTGTAGCCCATACAAGGTATCTGGACTCTTCATTGGCAATTACTAGAGGTTCAGGCATTTCTCTAGACGAGGCAAGGGTTCCTGGGACTCCAACAGCGAAGAGAAGGATTCCAGGAACTCCAGTAATGCATACAAGGAGTCCTGTCCCTTCAGTAACACCGACCAGGAGCCCTGCCATTCATGTAGCACATACTAGGATTCCTGGCACTCCAGTAGCCAAGACAAGGAGTCCTTCCACTCCAGTCACTCAAACGAGAAGTCCTGGTAACATTCATTTTGCACAAACAGCCAGCCCAGGTGCCTCATTGGTCCAGGCAAGGAGTTCTAGCTCTCCATTATTTCAGGATCAGCTTCATGGTGTTCATATAAGTCCTACTGGTGCTAGTGTCTCACATGGTAGGGAAAATCGAAATAGCGGACCAGAAAGAGCTTCCAGTGATGTGCAGCAGCGGTTGGATCAAACAGCTGCTAGACTTGTAGTTATACCTGGTGATGAGAATGTAAGTAAATATGCGATAGTCTTTCCCAGTGGGGCCAAAGTGATTTTAACACCTAAACAAGTGGCTGACATTCGTGCTGCTAATGGTGGGCTTTTGACAACACACATATAAGTGAAGTTATATAGTCACACATAACTTGTTGATCCTTCAGGCCTGTACATTTTTCAAGTGTAAAAGCTTTACAGGAGAAAAAACATGCATATTTTGTTTAGGACTGGGACCATGAAAATTGAACATGAACAGTATAGAAATATTCTGCCTTGCTGTACTGTGTTTGAGGGATATATAGAAAGTTATTTCACTCAGACAGAACCTTAATAAATTTTATTTACTGTTCACTATTATACTCACTGGGGTACACTGACTTGTTTTCAATTTATTGGCATATATGAAGAAACCGTTCCAGTGTCTTCTGAACTAGATCTGATGAGTGTGGAGGATGAACTATGGCAGGCCTACAAGGCCCAAAATGTTTTTACTTTTAAATGAATGGTCATTATGTAGGCACATTTCTCATGATGAAGTGTCCACCTACATGCAGCGAAACAAACTGCCATGTGCTTCTCATGCTCTTAACAATTAGTTATTTTGTATTAATTCATTAATTTTATTTACAAGGTGGTTCAGATATGACTGGTGCTGATTTTTTTTTAAACCAAAATTGCCAAACACTTACTTCAACGTACTCCCTTCTGGAGTCAACACATTTTTTCCAACGTTCTGGAAGCATCCTGATGCCCTTTTCAAAAAAGTCTTGTGGTTGGTGGCGTATCCACTCCCGAACATTCTGGATGACAGCGGCGGCGTCCACAAATCGCATGCCTTGTAAGTCTGATTTGAGCCTTCCGAACAGGTAGAAATCACTTGGTGCCAAATCGGGACTGTACGGCAGGTGTGTCAGAAGGTTCCATTTCAGTTTCCAGAGGGTTTCCAATGTTGTTTTGGCCGTATGGGGGCATGCATTGTCTTGAAGGAAGGCTNCGCGCTCTCTTAGGTTTGGGAGAACTGGTATGCCGCAACTCGCGTGATGATTGTTGGGAATTGGGAATGAAGTAGTGCACCCATGTTTCATCGGTGGTCACTATAGACTTCAAAAATGCATCACCTTCATCTTCAAACTGCTGTAGGAGATGACTGGCAACTTGCATGCGCACCATTTTGTTCACGTACGTCAAAGTGCGTGGTACCCACCATGCATTCACCTTGCGATAGTGCAGGTGGTATTTCATGATATCTTCTATACTACCAACACTGATGGACAGCGTTGCTCCAAGTTCCTTGATAGTGATGTGCCTATTCTCACGAATAAGTGCATCTGCACGATCAGTGTTTGGCTTGGTGACGGATGTTCACGGCCAACGGTCATGCGGTTCATTCTCCACGCGCTCTCTGCCCTCTCTGAAGCACTTACACCACTCAAACACACGGGTCCAATGAGAGACACTCTTCCTCATACTGTTGTTGGAGTCTATGGTGAATTTCAGTGGATGGGACGTTTTCTCCAACGAGGAATTTGATCACAATGCGTTGTTCCACACTCCGCGGTACCTTCTGTTCACTCATCACTAGCAACTTCCAGACAGGACCGAACAGGTTCTAACCTGAACAGGAGGGAGAGTGGAGGTTGTGGCTACAATCTCTCAAGGTCGTACAGCTGCTGCGCAGTGCGGCTTGTTTACAAAAAAATCAGTCCCAGTCATATTTGAACCACCTAGTATTTTTGGTTGGAGTGCCAGCAGCTTCAGAATTCTTGACTGATTAAATTATTCAATCAGTCTGAAAACTATGTGTCACTCGGACACTACTGTGAACTAGAGTGAAACCCCTATTTAAGATTTCTCTGGGACACAGTGAATCTGAACATTACACTCTAGAAAATCTTAATTATAGAATATTTTAACACAGAGATGGGTTTGGCACCATTCAGTATGGATATTAAATGAGGGAAAACCATAAAATGAGAAATGTTAAATGGGGATTCCATTTTAATTGTATTTTAATATACAGTTCATAATTTCAAATGTTCCTTTATGTTTACCTAAGTGTTCAGTATTTCAAGTGTCATAGACCTAAAGAGACAGCGACAGGTTAGACCTAGAACAAGACATACCTGGTTTAGTTTCATTACATTCAGGTTGTTGGAGCATATTGGGTGCAGTAGAAATGTGAACCTGATATTTATTTTTTAAAAACTTAAATAGTGCATACTGAATGCAAGAAAATATTAAGTTCTTACTTTCTCAGTACAATTTTTTTTTGTGCCAGTCTACAGAATTAAACACAGATCTGAAACCTTAAGTGATGTTGCATGTACACTTAAGCTTGATTGTACGAGAGCAAAGAAGATGGCATAATTCCATAAATTTTGTAGACTCAAAAGAATATGGAATATGGTGACATTTTAATTGACAAAAAAGAAAGATCCAGTTATCTAGGAATGTGGATGGATCTTGTTACAAAGTTATTGTGGACAGCCTAACATCTACCTGAAAGGTTAGGGGTCCAGTACCCATAAGTTATGGATTATAAACTTAAATACTGATATTTGGAGATTGTAATGTAAATTATCCTTCTTGCTGATGTTGTTTTTTACATTACTGTTTGTTTTATAAAATTCTAGCACTTCTGTGAAGAAATATATGTACCATAATAAACTGTAATGTCACCTGAGAAGAGTGTCACTGTGGTATATTTTCATGTATCTCATTCCTCTATTTATTGATCCTTTCAGGAGAAAACGTTGGAGAAAATAACAGAAATCTTGAAATAATGACACTTTGCTGCAATGCATAATTAAATTTGCCAAAATTAGGTATGGTAAAACTTGTATCTTAAAACCTTCACTTATTAATAATTATTGATACGTGGAGCAATTACTACCTCACTGTCCATAACCACTTATACCTTTGAGATTAGTTACTGGTTCATTTATTACTTCACAGCAACACCTCTGGTCCCAGCTGTGTACTCCACTGAACTGAAAACTGGAAAAGGAGGATGACTTTACTTCTACCTACTGCCATTTTATAGGCATGTCACCCATGGGAAAGATTATAGAATATTTCCAGGAGACCTCTGCCCTCATCATTCGTTTGATTTCCTGAACTTTCCAGAAACTCTGGGTGTTGTTCATGTAGGCAACACTTTTGGTTCTGTAGACAAAAGTCAACATGTTTCTCTAGGACAAGAAATGTGTTTCAGTCAGACAACAAGATTCCACCATGTTCTTATGAACTTGGGCAGTAAAGTAATGGCATAGTGCTGGTGATCCAGGTGAATGGTATGCTTGCAATTATTTATCTTTGCAGCTTCTATACTTCTTAGCACAAATTACAAATTTACTTGCCCCCTTAGTCTATTCTCACTATGCTACAAGCCGGAAGATCACGGGTTCAAGTCGCAGTGAGGTGGATTTTTTTTTTCAGTTTACCAAATCTTTCCAGCCGCACTATGTCCCTGGGGTCGACTGAGTTTCTAACAGAAATGAGTACCAGAAAATCTTCCTGGAGGTTAAAGGATGGCCGATGTGTAAGGCTGACAACCTTACTGCCATCTGTTAGTTAATTGTCTAGATAATGTGGGACCCTCAACCTCTCACAACCCCTTGGGCCTCCATGGCCTGTTACAGGGATAGCTTATAGTCCATCAGTGAATCAGGAGGGAGGTTCTGTGATGGTTCGGGCAGCAACATCATGGTATTCTGTTGGTCCCATTATTAGCTTTCATGGCCTAATTACTGCTAGCGAGTACCTGAACATATTGGGTAATCAGGTTCATCCCATGAACCAGATGCTATTTCCAAACAGTGATCCAGTTTTCCAAGATGACAATGCCCCCGTTTAGACAGATGGATCCGTTAACTCTTGGTTTGAAGGGCATGACAGTGAACTCCAACATCTACCCTTGCCAGCACAATCATCAGATTTGAAACATAACTGAACCACTCTGGTCAGTTCTGGAGACTAGAGTGAGGAACATATTTCCACCCCCAACATCTCTAAAACAACTTGAAGATCTTCAAGAAGAATAATATAAAATTCCTCTAGAGACTGTTCAGAACTTTTACCAGTCCATTGCAAGAAGGATTGCAGCTGTACTGAGGGCAAAAAGTGGTCCAACACCATATTAATAAAGAAATGTGTACAGTATCTAGTGTTTTCATTATCTTGTCCAACCCCTGTATGCCTTCTCGGATAATCAAGATGGTAATTTAAAACATTAAGGCAATAATAATGCAAGAGTTTTTATATACCTACTCAGAAACAGTTGAAGTTTCTGGGGACATACGACAACTTAACTTGTCTGGTAAATCTAGCGGCTTGCAGCCTACATTTTCCACTTCGTACTGACAGAATGCTGACATATTAATTATTTGCGTAATAAAAAATGTATTTGGCATAATGGTAGCAGATTCAGGATTTTCTACACAATCATCAATCTACCATAAACTGACAAAATGGTAATGGTATGTTTTATGCACAACTTATATTAAGGAAGGTAAGGGTACAGTTGGCCGGTCACGGTAGCCGAGCGGTCTAGGGCATGTACTGTCTTCGCTCGCTCGGAAGCAGGGATCGTAGGTTCGAATCCCACTCAGGGCATGGATTTTAGTTTGTGTGTGTGCGTCTTTCTGTGTTTGTGTACAGGTAGAGGCCTTGCGACGAGCTGATCACCCGCCCAAGGAGTCCTACCGTATGTCTAAGATCTAGTAAACCGAAGTGAAACGGAGAGTTTCGTGGAGGTAGGCCTAGGCCCAAATGAGGGCTGTAGCGCCAATGAAAGAGAATAAAAAAGGTAAAGTTGTACCTGTGTTTAACTAATTAAGCACTACCCTATGAAGACATGGTGGCTGTATAGGTCCGAATTTTCTTGACCTCAGCACTAGCTGGAGGTGAGTGGTCAGCTTTACCCCAACGAAAGAGCCCCTGGAACCCACTGGATAAGAGGCTGGGTGTGCCCGACGTGGAGAACAGGGACATTCTTGACCCTATCGGGACTCGAACTCCGACCGCTTGGTCGTCCAGCCCGTAGTCAGTCGCTATCCCTGCCCCTTTTACGAAGGAAACGAAATGAAAATTACGTTATGGCAAGGTGTCTAGATTTCTAGAATTAGGAAACAGGCACAATTCGGTAATTCTGTATTTCAGCATCCTGTTGCAATTCACATTAGCGCCCATTTGTCAATAATTTTTCAAACAGGTTTTGTTGAAATTTATATTCGCGTCACAGTGTAACAGTTTTCGTTTACAAGTCATGTAATTATATATGCCTTTAGTATGACTACTATTTATGATTCTGTATTTCAGCATCCTGTTAATTGAATATCTGTAAAAAAACACCTGAAGATGGCCGTTTGAGGCCGAAACATGTAGTGTTAGAGAGTGTATTGAAGTGCAAAATAAAAAGCGTTGCAATTTAGACGGAATATAGACAAATGGACGCTAACAATTCGGTAAGGTGAAAGCCCAGAAGTGTCACAAGTTTGTGTAGTACGATTCATGACGTGGAAGAAGTTTGTACGACATATTTACATGAAGTATATAGATTTCAATGCCAGTCACGGTAGTCGAACGGTCTAAGGCATGCACTGTCTTCGCTCGCTCATAATCCGGGATCGTGGGTTCGGATCTGTTTCCTGTGAGGTACGAACTGAATTCTTATATATTATTCTTATACACTGCCGGTCAGGGTAGCCGAGCGGTCTAAGGCATG